GGGCGGTCGGCCGGAAACGACAAGAGCCAAAAAAAAAATGACTGCGCCAAACGTGTTGTAAACAACCTGGAATTTTCTGAGCCCGCGAACAATTAAGTAATGTAAGTCAATCGCCGGAATGAGTTAAATACTAATTAGATGCGAATGAACGTGATTCTGATTTTCAAGAACCTTACAGACAATGGTATCATTTTTATCGATCTAATAAAATCTTTTGGTCCGCGGATTTATATCGTTTTCGGAAACATTTTACCGTCGACGGTCCGTATGAACCGGACCTCTATGCATAAACTGTTGAGGCAGGGGGAGATTTGAACGGGAGCGTGATTCCCGGAAATGTTTAACGGGAGAGATTATGGACAATTCTTTCAATTAATATCGCCGAAATTTGCATGTTTTCCGCACAGATTACAGCAATAAATTTCCGCCAAAGATAAAGGGAGGGGTTGAACTCCATGACCCCTCATTGATTTTAAATTTGCCTCCCCACCCCCCTCTCAAAACTGGAATACAATCGCCATTGATCGTCCGTCACTGTATTCTATAGTGAAGCTTTTTATTTAAACGACAATACGAGATATTTCAATCAAATGGATTTAAATTGAAACAATAATTTTTTTTTTTTTGTTTTTTCAAAGATCAGGAGAAGATACACACCGAATTGCACATTTCGATCCTATTTTAAAAATTTTTACCATCACGTGTGCAATATACATTAAATGTATTCGAATTAAGACGCCTATTATTTCAGCGAAAGCAAATCGCGGTCAACGAGGGGAGAAAATCGTAAATTGAACACCAATTTTGAATACCTAGTCCTAGTTTCTAGTAACGTTGAATTGGCGATAATATCATCTATACCAAAAATTACGTACGTTTGATCGGAATTTTCCCTCTGCCATTCAAAATCAGAAATTACGCCTTTAATTAACACACAATACCCATGAATATGTAAGAGTATTTTCAGAATTTGTACGGAAGCCACGTTTGTAATAAATCGTCTTGCCAGTCACCACACGGAAAACGACATGTCTCAGGAACGGAGAACTACTATAAAAGCGAAGCAATTCGACTATTATTTTGTGAGGGTGAGGAGAAAATATATTTAAAAATAGCGGTTTTCGTTCGGGAAGATGCAAGTTGTATTGCGCATGCGCACGCCGTCACAGAGAGTAGATTTTGAAAATGCGTCGAAAATGTTTATTTTACATTTTGGTTTAATCTTCCTGGAAAAAAAACAAAAAACCCACCTATTTCAAAATTCAAGTACATCCCACCGAACTATTTAGCGTTACCGTTCGAGTGAAACTCAAACGAAAAAACGAATATATTCGCTGTACGGTTAATGTCGTAAGGCCGTTAGGTAGCCACGCTTTTTTTGTACACGAAAACCGATTTCGTGCTGTTAATTTGAATATTTACAGAATGTCACTATCATACGGGAAGCTTATAATATAGCATATAATATTTACATCGGCAGAAAAAATTCAAAATAATATGTTTCTTTTTATCTGTTTTAAAAAGCAATTTATGCAGACCCCACACTCTGGACATGATGCCATTCTTAATTTTAGATTCTGAGTGTAATATATAAAGCCTATTTAATTATTTTGCAATAAAATGACATATCATGTACTGTTGATAAAGCATCACTAACAACTGAACTCCACTCAGAATCGTTTTTTCATGAGCAATGGTTTATCGTCTTTTTTTAAAATTAAAAACCATTAAAAGATCGAAAAAAAAAAAAAACAATTTCGTAAAACTTTCTTATTCAGACTGCTTAATAATGAAATAAGACGAAACACCTACCTTCTAAACAATATTACTCTCTAAAAGTAAACAAATATTACATTCGTAATGAAGAATTGTTTCGTGTAAAACATTATTCACGAAAATACACGTCGTGTACACCTGCCAATGTCTCGCTACCTGCCGGGAATGCTGTAAATCGTTTAGGTATTTTCTCTCGCTCTATGAATCAATCTTAATAACACTGATCACTTATCATACACTTATTTGCGTTTCATCTTTCGTCCTTTTTTTGTTATATTTTAACGTTTAAACGGTGCCTAACGCACCTACATTCAATATTTGTATTTAAAATCTACACGCCATTGTCAAATTATATGCGTACAATACATGTGTCCCGATGTAAACCGGACCGACGTCCCCCGTTAAACGAACGAACAAACAAATATTTATCAATGTTTTTCGGTAATATATTTTCGTTTCCGAACGATAAAACGCAATATCAATTTGTAAACAAATGTACTAGTAAATACCACGCCGTCGAACGGTTTCGCGCACACTCGTACGAGCGTCCGCCAGCGGGTTTTTTTCGTCCGGCTAGACCGTTTCCGGGCGGCCGGGAGACCCGACGAAAAATTGAAATCCCGCGGTCGCGATAAAAAATAGAAAAAAAAAATAAATAAATAATAATAATAAAAAAAACCAACGTTGCTGCGCCCGTATACGATGTACGACGGCGACGATGACGGATACGGTGTTTTTCCCCAGCCCCCCACCCCCCGTACACGTGGGGGGAAAAAAAAAATCCCGGGGCGACACGTAAATATATAAATATATATGTGTATACGGGTACGCGAAAGTATGAAAAAATATAATATTTTAGGCGTGTATAATATGTACGTATACGACGAAGGGGGTGGGGGGGAGTGGCATTTTTTTCTTCTTTCGGGGGGGAGATGGAAATACACCGTCGCGGGGGGGGACCGCTATAAGCGAGCGGGGATGGCCCGGGGGGGGGGGGAGGGGACGACGGTGGGACGGCGGAGGACGGGGGCGCGCGTAATATCACCTGTCCGCGGCGGTTATGATTCATTACGCTTGGCGTTTGGCGTAAAACGGTGACACGGAATGCACGCGCGCGTAACGTACGGAGAGCGGCCGTTATCCGCGTGCGTTACGTAAATACGCGCGAGCGGCGGTTTTTCCCGGCGCGCGCGTGACGGCGGCGGCGTCCCGCACACCGGGTGAGCGCGGTACGGTTGCCCGGCCAACGCGTTTGTACACTACGCACGCCGCCGCCGCCGCCGCCGACGACGACTTAGCTTGCCCGTCGTCGCCGCGTGCATCACACGGTCGTTCCCGCCGGTCGTCGAACGTTCTCTGCCGTCGTTCGTCCGTTCCCGCGGTCGCTCTCCCCGGTGTCTCGCACGCGTCCGCACGGAACCGAAACCAAGCGAATACGCACGCGATATTTGCGTCACCGTTTTGGCGGACCGTCCGTTTGCGATTTGTTTTTCCGCACCCCCACCGCCCGTTAATCGTTCGGCCCCTCACTCTCCCGCGGTTTATCGCCTGTGGCCCGCGATTCGCACGTGCGCGTCCGTAAATACCTCGTTAACAACCGGACCGTGCGTTATCGCGCGACGCGGCCATGACGGTACCGTTGTAATTATCCGTTGCCGTTATCGCGTCGCGGCCGCATCCGAGGGCTACCGAAAACTGTACGCGCCCATCGCCGGCGGACGTTCCCGGAAAATCGCCGACGACCCACCCGGCACCGGAGGTGTCCGACTCGTCGTCGTCGCCGGCCACAATAATAACTGCCGCACGTCAGAGGTGAGTGGTGTTTTTTATTTTATTTTATTTTTTTCCCCTGAAATTCGTTTAAACCGCGAGTGTTCGGCGGCGCGCGTTCGGGGAACTCGCGTAGACGTCCGAAATTTCGGCCGCGGGTTTTCTCCGGGTTCGCGCGCCGGTCGACCGGACGAATAATTCGCGCGGTCCGCGGGAAACCGTCCCTCCCCCCCCTCCGCCGAGAAACCGACCGCCGTCGCGGACGCGATTTCGTTTCGCCGGCAAAACCCTTCAGGCAGACGCCGAGAACGCAGTCCGGCAGTGTCGGCGACACATGAATATTTAATCCGCCGCGTCCGGCGCATAAATTGCGGTTCCGCCGTAACGGCGCGGACCCGGGGGGTCGGCAAATTGCGTACGTATCGCTAAAAAAAACATTTGTACACACACGCGCGCGCCATGTCCTTTAGGTTTTTGCAAAATTCACGCGTTCGGGTACCGCCGTGATTGCGCGACGTTTCCCCGGGAAAATGACCGTCCGCGAATTCGACCCGACGGACCGACCGGACAGGCGGGTCGTGCCGCCTCACCGCGTGCGCGCCGAGAGCCGAGTTCGCGTACGCGGTTTCAATTTTTTTTCAATTTTTTTTCCCGTCTATTTTTTCTATTTCCTCCCCCCCCGTGCAATTACAGACGTTCCGCTCGTTGTTTCGCCCGTGCGTTCGACAATCACGCGACGGCAATCCCGATAATAACATTTTGCCCGGCGACACCGACCGTACCAAGTGTCGACCGGGTAATAGCTCGCGCGCACGTCGGGCACGGCGTTTCCATAGTCGTCGTCGCCCTGTGCTCTCCGCGAAAGTTTAACTGACCGTGTACGGCGCTGTTTAACGTGACGGAAATCTCGAAAGACTCGCTGTCGCGACGTACGCCCGCCAACGCTGACCGTCAGCCGATTAACGGGGAAAAAAACAAAACGAAAAACGACACACAATACGACCGTTTCGGTCGGCCGACGACGAAATCGGAACGGATTCACCGTACACGGAACTCCGCGCCGTCTGTCCGATTCGTGGCCGTAGGCGCGAACGGACCGAATATTTTTTTTCGGCGTTGAAGGGGGGGGGGGAGAGGGGGTAGGGGCGATTCGAGGGCCCGTTTTTTTTTTTTTTATTGACCGTGCGTATACTCGGCGTCCCGTGCATTGAGTAGCGGCGTTCAGACTGGATGGACTTGGGCGGACATTTTGGGGGGGGGGCAGGAGGCGGACAGAGAAGTCTACCCTATTCGCGCCGTCGTCTAAACTGCTATTGCTAAATAAGCCAAAGCGGACGATTAGCCATCCCGGTAAAAGCCGGCGATCGGATCGGACACACCCGGACGTTTACTCTGCGCGTAGTAACGGTGCGTTTTTGAACTGTGCCCGCTAAATATGTTCGCTATATGCTAGCGAACGGTTAAGCGGGACAACGGCCTTCGGTCTTCTTTATCGCGAAATTCTCTGCGGCGAGATCGTTCTGGATTTTATGATTTTTGTTGTAGTTCGCAACGCGACATTATCCAAACCGTATTGTTGCGCGTTTTCGATAATAATGGTATTCCGAATGAAATCGCAAATCGCGCGGACCGGTCCGGGGAAACAAAAGCGGAAAACGAAACGTCCGACCGTTTTGTCAACAACTCCACGCGCGTACCGTAATGGCGCCGAAAAGTCGCTGTAAAACATAAATCAAACGCGTGTACGATCGCACGTGCAACGGACAACCGGTCGGGTTTGGTCAGGTCGAAACCGTTTTGATTTCATTGAAATGCGTGCTCCGACAACGACGACGACGACGCTCGCGTTCCGGCACCACGGCCGCCGCCGTTGTCGTCGACGGGCGATCGGCGCTTTATTTACTCGATAAAATTAAGTTTAAAAAATCGACGTTTTTCTCTGACGATAACTTGTCGGCCGAATACAAAAAAAAAAACAAAAAAAAAGCCTGTCACGATAACAGTATGGATTGAAAAACAAAAAAATACAAACAAAACACGTTTGTACGTTATTATCGGTGTTGTAAACGACGGATCCGAGACAAGATAAAAGGGCAAGAGGGTGGGGGCGGTTTTGAAATTTCGTAAAGGTCCCACATTTACGGCGGGCCGAACGGTGGACCGAGCCGGGAGCGTAATGGGATTCCGAGTATATTGGCGATCGTCACTTCACCCCGGATCAGCCGCTGAGTTGAAGGCGTTTGAAAATCAAAAAATCAGAAGCGATTACACACTCGCACGCACGCAAGGTAAAATTCAAGATCGGCATAGCGCGAGCGTCTTGGATTTTCCGAAAAGACGACGTCGACGGCGTTTGACGCGTTTTACGAAATGCGATTTTGGAACATTTTTATCGATTTTAGATTCCGAGTTTAGCGAAGAATTTATTGGTTTTACAAAGACGTTTATTTTTTTTCAATTTTTTTTTTTTTTTTTTTTATGTCAACACTTTTTCTACCAGAAGCTCTGATTATCAAGTATAGCGTCTTTTCTGATAGTAAATGTATTCAGGGCGGTACTTTAAAGAGGCTATTTTTTGAAATTCTCATTATATTCGAGATAATGAAGAAAACGTGGTCCTTTAAGATTAAAAAAGACTGAAAGATTAAAAATAATGTCCATCGGCAATCGTTTTATTTATTTTATGTTATCATTACGTTTTTATTATTTTATAAATTTTTTTTAAACAATCATTGTTGCCACGGAAACGCACATTGTTGTAATCATTTGATCACAATATGACATATGACCATTTATTGTATTGTTGACAAAGCGACACTATCAACTGAACTCCGCTCAGAATAGTTTTTTCGTTAGCAATGGTTTATCGTTGCTTACGGATATGCATTCAATTCCCGTGCGTATCCTGCCTCCCCCATCTCCCGCCTGCAACAGTGGCCGCACCCACGTGCGGAGCATGTGGCAAGTTGTCGCGTCTCGCGTGATGTTTTGACGGTCCGCTTGTCAGTGGTAAATCAGATGTTTTTATTTTGTCTTACTCAATTATTACCCGTGCGTTACACAACACATCTTGTGGAAATCTGATGCGTAATTGCGTATAGTAAAAAATTATAATTTCTGGCATAAACGTAGTCAAAGGGGGGTTGAGGGGGGCAGGGTGTTTGAACACCGAAACGGTCCTCTCGCCACGCCGCTGTTGCAGTGGTAACACGGGAAAGCGCACGGCATCAAATCGTCGGATTCCGTTGTTTTCCGATTCTGTTTTATGATTCGGTCGAAAAACAATCGCGGAGGCCTGGCGTTTATGCGGAACGCGCTTTTTAGATTTGTGCATTCCGGATGTACCCGGTGATTCGACGGTCGGTCTGACGATTTCCGAGCCGTTCGTATATCATTTGGTTTAACGCGGGTAAAACCGTTTCGGCCGGTACAGAAAAATTCCAATACTTTCACAAACGGTCCACGTGACACCGCGTTTCGATCGAACCTCGCCCGGTACTCCGGTATCCGGGGACGCGGATTCGGCGTCTCGCGCGCGCGCGCCTGTTTTTTATTCCGTTACACTGTTATTATTATCGTCGTCGGCGTAGTACGGGCACTCGTATCGTTGCGAATTAATGCGCGATTTCGGTTGTTCCGCGGCGGTTGCCGAAGCCAACGGAGGGGGGGGGGAAATGGAACGCCGGGGCGAATACCGGCGTCCGGTAGCCCACATTACGAGACGCCGCGTTATTGCGTGGCGTATTACAATTGCGCGATAACGATAACGATAACCGTTGACGTGTGTCCTATTGTTGTTGTTGTTGTTGTCGTTTTTCTTCTCCCGTTTACCCGAACGGTTGTCCGCGGCGCGTCCGCGCACCGCGCAGGTATTACGCGTTACGGTCCCGTGTCCCGCGTCCCGCCGCTACGCAATTCGCGGACGGGGCCGGCAAACACAATTGGTTACAAACCGGAAACTAAACCCGCGGCGGTGTGCGAACGTATTATGCCGACCCCGCGGCGCTCGGCAACGGCGTCACGCGCGTACGGCGCGCACGCGCACAACGGCGGTCCGCGCGAATGTGCCGTACGTGCCCGGGCGGGTTTCGCCCCGGACCGAAAGACGGGCGACCGGGTTCGAAGCGGCGCACCACGGCGTTCAAGTCGAAACGGCCGTTTTCCCGTTTCGTCGCGCGGCGGCCGCAACGCGTTACCCGTTGCCGGGCGGTGGTCCCGTTGTGATTTTCAACGGTTTCCCCGCGTCCCCCAACCAACCCCCCCCCCCCCCCGCCCGGTCGCGTCGCGTAAATACGGCGGGCGGTACGCGTAACGGCCCTCCCCCACCCGTATGGCCTATAAATTATTTTTTCTTCCACGTGTGTTTCGCATACTGCGCCGTATTGTCATTGCAACGCACGCAAATAGACTTTGTAATACGGATCACCGATCGTTTTTCCGTGTGTTTAGATTCTGAGCGCGTATAGCGAAGAATAAGCCGCGTTTTTTTTTTTTTCTTTTATATAGCAAGAAAATACCGTAGACAAGCAGACGCGCGCAGTTTTACTCTCGGAAAATATACTTTTTCGGTCAGTTCGCCATTTAGGTCCACCGTTTCAAACGTTTTTCGGCCATTAAAACGGCTTGAACGGATTTTTTTTTTTGCACGGCGGTACTTTATTCGCAACGAATAGATTCCCGTCGGTTTTTGTTTTTGTTGATTTGCGGGTCGCACGGAGCCGCGACCCGGCTTCAAGGGGAAAAACGGGACTAATACTGTTCCGCTCAGAATTGTTTTTTGAGTGCGATGATTTATCGTCGCTTTCATCACGGAAACTAAATTATACCTTTAAAACTCTCCGTCTGCCAACACAAATAGCCTACACTACGGTGCATACGGTTTTTTTTTAGTATTTAATTATACACGTTTATATTGTTTTCCATAGCTACGCTACGTTGTTGAACGGTTTTGCATTTAGGTTCCAAGCGGATATAGTATTTTTAATTTTTTTCTTTTCGAATAATATTATAATAACATATATGACTGATAGTATTGTCTAAAATTTTATAGTTACCGCGGCAGAAATCTCGGTGAATAATTCTGATAGAATTAATTTCTGTCGTCTCGTGTCTCTTAAACACGCGGTAACCGTACACCTACACAAACACAATGACTCGCTGCGATATACGAACTATGAGACAGCGGTGATTATTTCTAAGGGTTTATAGTAAATTTGTGTCTGTGTACCTCTTAATATTATATTCTTGCGTCGCTCTCGGAACTTTGGCTTTTGTTTTAACGAAACATCGCGGATACGCTTTTACCCGCAGTTTTCGATCATTAAACGAACAATTTTTAAAACAGTTTTGTGTGTCTAACGTTTTAATTGACACGTTATTATAATATGCACATAAATCGGGGTTGCAAAATAATACGTTTTAAAAAAAATAACAGTTTATTTTGTTTGAAACATGTTTTTTTTAAACGTCGTGTTTCGTAAACATAATCTCATCGTGACTGTTTAAACGCAAAATAATTATCGAATTTAAAATAACTCGTTTGACTTGAAAAGCGATATAGAAACCGTTTATTTTGATTTATATTTAGGAATAGACGGGGCTCTGTACAGCAGTTGTCTTGCCGCTCTTCGGGACGTATGAATTATTTAATTCGGATTTCCGGACGTTAAAAACGTTTCAAACACGCGCGGGCCCGCGTTTTAAACGTTTCGAACGCTTCGCGGCTGCGACGACATTGTGGCGGTCGCTGTGCGTACGGCGCTAAAACTTCCGGAAATAATAATCGCGAACCCGTTGTGTTCATCATTAAATAAACCGGCGCGCGTACACTCACGCAGTGCACGCCGTCGGACTTTCGACGTCTGCACGATTGGCGCAAGACCGTTTTCGGAGACCGGGACTCGAATTGGAAATTCATATTTTCTCGGTATTATATTTCGTCGTTCGACGGTATTGTCGACTGCCGTTGTTCTCGGTAAAGAAAACGCATCAAAGGTTCGCGCCGCGCGTGCGTGCGTGCGTATGAGCAAAAGTTACGCCGGATTCCGAGTGGTTTCGATATTGTAACGCGCGCAAAGGACGTCGGCTACGGAATTGGTTAACACGCAGTTTCGTTTTATTTGCAGCGTGCGTTGCGATTGTGCGCGACCGTTTCAGATTCCGTACAAAGAACAAAATCGTTCTGCGCGCGATGCGTATAATTCGGGTAAGAGGAAATTTCAAAAAAAATACCGCCTACGCGCGGGCGTACTCGTACGATATTATTATTGTGTGCTCTTTGTGGGGGGGGGGGACATTCGCATTATTTTGTCCGGGAATTAGGCATACGCGCGGGCAGTGATCGACACTTTAAACGTTATGATTTCGCGTGTAAATTAGGAGAAACCGAATCCCGCGATTCGACACAAAGCCGGCCGCGGCGGCGGTGTTTCGTTTCATTTTTGTTTGTGACGTAAAAAGTCTTCGCGCGCGCGCGTTCCGAAACGCGTACGCCGCTATCGTCCCGGGCGATAACGCTACAAAGTAATGGGGTTTTCGTTTTTTTTTTTTTTCCCGCAAATTTGTTGAATTTAATCGTAATTTTTCACCGTATACCGTCATTTCATCCATCGCGCCTATAATATGCGATATTGTATATTCTCCGTACGAATTCGGTTTACCCATTGCTTGTATTACCCGAGCCCCGGGTCGTCGATTGATTCAGAAAACGACAAAAAACCAAAAAAAAAAAAAAAAAAACACCCTTATAATTTCCGAAAAATTGAATTCTGCGCCTGTAGTATCTACCTCCGGAGGGATTACAGATAAATAAGACGGAGCGGTCAACTGGGTAACGGTTTTTTTTTTTGTTTTCGGCCGACAAGTTATCGTCAGTAGTCGTTGCGCGACGCCATAATATTATGTTTTTGTTGCGGAAAAGAATCCCTTTTATTTTTTTTTTTTTCTACACGTGACAAGTGTACAGAGATCGATTCGTTTCGTTCTAGTGTTGAATAATTATCGTTTTACTTAGTTATTGCACTTGTACTTAGTCGTTTAGAGTATAGACGTATGTAAAATTTACTATTTTGTTTCGCAGTTCCTATAGTCGTGTTTTGTATTGCGCGCGCGTCGTTTTATAGTTTGTTTTTTTACCGTTGTATTTTCATATCATACTTAGGTTTACGAAAAAAAAAAACACTATTAGTACCCAACCAAATATTACCAATGGATATCAGGCCTCGCGGCCCGGCCGGTCCTGTTAACGCAATAAATCGTATACGGTTATTAACACGGGCCGAGACGCGTTATTAGCGTCGTCGTTTCGTCTGTAACAACAATACGAGCATGACGCGGTCGCGTGCACACAAAATTTCACGGGACCGTGCGCGGGGCCGGACTCTCGATGAATTATTAACGACGATAAATCATGTAATATTGGTGACCGCCGTTGTTCGACAACGATTGTTACACCGTTCGGCGGGCGGTGTCGCGCGGAACACGACAGTATAACGTTCGGCTACGATACGCGCGACGTAAATTCGCAAAAAGCGAAACGCCCCGTAAACGCGGCACTCGTACGGTGCATACGCACCTACGGAACGCCGTCGCGGTACGTTCACCGAAACGGTTGTGGGATTGTCGAGATTAATCGTCACTGCCGAACGATTGCGTTCCGAACGGAAAACGCCGCGCACGCGGCGGTATGTAACGAGTGTCGGCGGACGGGTAGGCGACACGGAGTTGCGGCTATCAAACGACGACACTGCTCGTCCAGAGGGAGCCCTCGATGGGTAGTGGAAAAAAAAAAAAAAAAAAAAAAAAAAAACTCCGACTGAGTGCTACAAGTTGTTAAAAGAGGCCTACAGTGAGGATAGGATAACCTATCTCGGGCGCGCGTTTTCGAGCGGCGTAAATTATTTTCTGAAGGTCGAGAGTGCACCGGAATCCAATTCAGTCGTAATCCAAATTCAAAACCGTTTTCTTCGACATCGACGGCATCGTGATGACCGAATGGGTGCCAGAGGGTCAAACTGTGAACCGACATTACTATTTGACGGTTTTGGCAACATTGCGCGAATGAGTTCGTCAGAAACGGTCGACATTGTGGAAAAACAAGTCGTGGATCTTGCACCAGGATAAAGCGTGAAACGTTATTTGGCCGCTTAAGGCACTCCAGTACTCCAACACGCGTCTTACTCACCCGACTCGACACCCTGCGACTTTTACTCGTTTCCGAAGATAAAGTCCGCCTTAAAAGGAATCCGGTTTGAGTCGATGGAAGAGGTGAAATAAAAATCGGCGGAACTCCTGAGTGGTCTTACGAAAACAGACTTCCAGCACTGCCTCGAGCAATGGAAGAAACGAATGAAACGGCGTGTGGCGAGGGGAGGGGAGTATATCGAAGGGGAGCATTTGAATGTAGAATAACTTTTATAATAAAACACTTTTTCGTAACCAGTCTCATTATTTAATAGCCACACCTCGTATTTATGTTGCTTCATTCAACACTTTATGAATTATTTTAAATAGAAAAAAATAATTGTTTT